CACACACACACACACACACACACACACACATACACACACACACGGCAGCAGCAGTGTAGACATGGATTTTAGCTCAGAGGAGATGGCAGCTTCTGATTTCCACATACTGGTATTTTCTATTTGCATTTCCAGTCACCCTTTCTCTCCCTTTTATACTTCTCACAGCTTTAACGCCTTTGCAACCCGTTGTCTATGTTAAATTCTCTCAGTCTGCAGTACCTGGAGTTATGTGTTCCTGACTGGATCCTGGATGGTAACAGGTGTGAGGTTTGGGTTAGAACTCACACAGATTTATGTCTTTGTTTACTTCCCACTCCTTCCACACAGTCTACTTGGGAGATTTTACCCAAAGCTCTGCTTCGCATTTGTGCTGATGACTCGCAAATCAGGTTTTTCAGTCCATACCTGAGATGCATACCCGTACACCTGACTGCCTCCTGCATGGCTCCAGTTGGCTCTTCCACTGGTATTTTAAATTCCACCTGTATAAAACTGAACTCATTCTCTTCTTTAAACCTGCTCCTTTTCTGTTTCTGTTCAGTCCATCACTGACCAGCCTCCCCGCCCTATGCTCTAGACACTCAGGTGTTATTCTTGACCCCTCCGTCTTCTCACCCTCCCACATCTAATCAGTAACCAAACCCTTTAGATTCTACTTCCTTATTTTCTCAATATTCTACCCTCTCCATCTCCTCTAATTATGATTTAATCATATCATCTTAGCATCTTTTCAGGCTCTTACCATCTTTCACTTTATTGCTATATTGCTACAAGGGAGAGTGTGTGTGTGTGTGTGAAGTTTTAAATCTTTTTTTTTTTTTTGGAGAGGTTTTTTGCTATAGGGCGCGTGCGCTCACCAGACAGACAGAGACATAGAGACAGAAAGCGAGAAATCACCCCCCAGGGGGGATGGTCACGCCGCAATCCCTTCTCCTCCATTCTCCTCTCAGGATCTTGGGCATGCACGCACACGCACCCGGCGTGAGTTCTAAGCCACCGGGTCCGGGACGCGAACCACGGTCGACTACGTGGGAGTCCAGCGACATAGCCATTACGCTAACTGCTGGTTCCCTGAAGTTTTAAATCTTGACATAATATACTACCAGGTTCTTTTCCTCCTCCTCTTCCTCCTTCTTCTTATCCTTTTTAATTTGCTATTGGGCATGTTCACCTGCTAGAGAAAGAGAAAAGGTGTGTGTGGCCATATCACAATCTTTTCTTCTTTGTTCCTTTTCAGGATTTGGAGGACTCACATGACCTTCATGTTTTTAAAGCCACTGGGTATGGGGCACAAACCATGTAGTCGGCTATGTGGGATCCAATCTCCTTTACTACCATGTCACTGGTTGGTCCCCTGCTACAAATTCTTGACTAGCAGTTTTACTTCAATTCTTTCCAAGCTCTGGTCCATTTTTTGAAATATCAGGACACTTTTTATAAAATGTTAAAATGAATGTGTCACTCCCAGTTTTAATATTTCTATCATTTGGGACCAGCAGATAGCGTAATAGCTATGTCTCTGGACTCCCATATAGTGGACCACGGTTCGAGTCTTGGACCCAGTGGCTTAAACTCACCCTGGACATGTGTGTGTGTGCATGCCCAAGATCCCGAGAGGAGAATGGAGGAGATTGCGGCGTGGCCATCTCCCTTGGGGTGATTTCTTGCTTTCTGTCTCTCTGTTTCTCTTTGTCTTTCTGGGGAGTGCACACACCCTATAGCAAAAACCTCTCAAAAAAAGAAAAAAAGAATTTCTATCATTTACTGGATAAATGCCAGACTGTCATAGAGGCATACTAGAGCCTTTGTGATTTGGCTTTTGCTTGAATTTCGAGCTGATTGTAACACCCTCCCACATATCCTGCTACCCCCGACTAGCACACAGGAACACATGAACAACCTTCACAGCATTCACATCGTCTGCATAGGGGTCTTTGAAGGAAGGCGCTCTGGATGCCTTTGACACCTGCCTACCTCTTGCCCTGGAATGTTTTTCTCTTCCTTCATGTTTTGCTGGTCAAGTGATTTGTCTTTCAAAACTCACAGGAGCCTGCCTGATTGTGTCCTACCTATTTCCTCATCCCTATAAAGTTACTACCTCTAAAACATTGGCACTTTCTTATTTGAATACATTATGTTGTTATGTAAGTATTTATTCATAGATTCCACACTAGACTTGAAGCCCTTTGAAGGTAGGAATGTGCCGTATGAACCTTTGTATTTCTAGCACTGGGCTTAAGACCCAGAACTTACTACATTATCAATCTATTTCCACAGAATGAATTAGAGCTCATGTCTGAAGGGTGTTAACCTTTCTGAGAAAGAGGAGGAGGAGCCAAGGAGAAGGAGGAGGCAGGATCTGAAGAGCCTAGGGGGTTTGCTGTGGGAAGATGCATTGTACACAGCAGCATTCTGCCACAGGGCGGCACTGCTTTAAAGAGCCAGTTGGTCCACTTATAGGCAGAGGCTGACAGCCTGACACTGAAGAAAGAACTCCACCAGGAGGCAGACAGCCCTTCCTGACCTTTCTAGCCCAATTACAGGCCATACTCTGGTCACGTCAAACAGCCAAGTCTTCAGAGGTTGCTAGCCCCAGGTCTCTCCCCAGTAACTGATGATGTTTAGCCCTACACTTTTGTGATTGGTTTAGACAAAATGACAAGACCAGCTATTGGAAATGAGCCTGTAAAACATGATCAAGGCTACCCTCGGGGCGGAGGGAGTTGGGCACCTGGTAGGCTGAGTTGTTGCTCATACCTACTGTGCTGTGTGAAGATATGGATCATGAGCAGAACCAAGGAGCTGTGCTGCTACAGTTGCTACAGCTTCTGTGGTTCCTGCCCCACTCCTGGGCTGTCCCTGAAGGTAAGATAATATTGTACTTCCCCTTTAATTCGATCCTGATTGTGGAGTTAGAGCCTAGGGAGGCCACCCAGAGCATTTAAAGAAGAGCCCTATGCTTTGCAAGTGGTAGGAAGTATTACGAGAAAGTGGAAACAACAGGTTATCAGAAAAGACTTGGTGGAGGGTCAACAAAAACAAGTGCTGTATGTGTTCCATTTAAGACAATCTCTTAAAGTAGTGATTAGTCTATCCACTTTACAGATGAAGAAAATGAGACTCAGAGAGTGTAAGTGACACACAAATTGGCATGGGATTCGAACTGGGATTTGACAAAAGAAACATTATTTCTACTACTCAGGATTCTACTCTGTACTTTGTTATCAACTCACTTTGTGATTTTTTGAAGTCTTTTGATTTTATTGGTCCTTAGTTTCCTTCTCTATAAAGGATAGGGCAGAATGCAAGAATAATCTGGACGATCCCTTTTACTTTAAATGGCTATTTTTCTGGGTATTGGGTAGAAGGTTTCTTGCTGACTGGGGGATTCCTGCCAGGAATTCTCCTTTAATCTATGAGTGGAACCATTCAAAGAAGAGGGATATTTTTCCTGAAGCTATGGTGTCACTTCCTGCAATCCTGTCATTGCAAGGACTGGAGAGTTGAAGGAGGGGAAAACATTTGCAGAGAGGCCTGGTGCCAATGAAGTAGCTGAAGAGAAGTGAGGAGACTGGCTTTTCAGTTTACCATGGGTGTCTGGGGTAGGGTGGGGCAGCAGCATCTATGCCTTGGGAGGGCCATGATTGTCTTCCCTTCTAAGACTGGAAAACTCATCATGGCCTTCACAAGTCAATATGGCGACCTTTTTTTTTTCTCTTTTTTTGGAGAGGTTTTTGCTATAGGGTGCATGTGCTCGTCAGAAAGACAGAGAGAGACTGAGAGATAGAAAGCGAGAAATCATCCCCCAGAGGGGATGGCCATGCCGCAATCCCTTCTCCTCCATTCTCCTCTCAGGATCTTGGGCACACATGCACACACGCCCGGCGTGAGTTTAAGCCACTGGGTCCAGGACTGAAACCGCAGTCGACTACATGGGAGTTCAGCGACATAGCCATTACACTAACTGCTGGTCCCAATATGGCGACCTTCTGTGAAGTAGACAATTACTCATTTTGGAGGCTGCAGCCCTACGCCCGAACACATGGCTTGGTGAGCAGAAATCCAACCTCCACTTGCCTCCTTGGCTACATGCCTTTGGGCAGTGCACAAACACACAATCAACTAAGTGATTCTGATTCTGTCATTTTACAGTAGATCCCTTTTTCTTTTTGCTGTTGTTGTTTAATTTGCTATAGAGCAAATTGAGACATAGAGTGAGAGATATGGCCACGCTGCAATCCTTCTCCTGTCAGGATTTTGGGCATGTACGCACATGCGCCTGACATGTTTTCAAGATGCTGGGTCCAAGACTCAAGCAGTGCAGTCAGCCATGTGGGATCCGGTGTTTCCACCACACCGTCAGCTGCCCCCTTTTTAAAAGGCCAGAGAGTGTTGGGAAAGATCCTGTAATCTCTTCTCCACCCCCACCTGGAGGTGGAGCCTAATAACAGACACAGGAGGGGGTTATACCCACTCTGCCCAGGCTTCCTGTAGGAGGCCTTGCAGTTTCCTAAGTTATAGAGTAGAAAGAGGCTCCCACCTCCCTGACCCCTGTCCTGTCTCCATTGCAGCTTCTACTCCAGTGTGGTGGGATGGCCTGCAAAACCACACATTCCTGCACACGGTGTACTGCCAGGACGGGCATCCCACCATGGGACTCTTCGAGACTTACGATGAGGACCAGCTTTTCTCCTTCGATTTTTCCCAGAACATCCGAGTGCCTCGCCTGCCTGAATTTGCCGAGTGGGCTCAGGAACAAGGAGACATCCCTGCCATTGTATTTGACAAAAACTTCTGTCAGATGATGGTCCAGAAAATAGGCCCAAAACTTGATGGGCAAATCCCAGTGTCCAGAGGTCAGGAGTTTTTCAGGGAGGGAAGGGAACAGGGCTGCTTTCTTAACCTCATCGATCAATGAAATTGAACCATTCCTCTTCCTATCAGTTCCTCCTCCCCAGTGCCTCCTGGTTTTCCCTGGGACCTTCCTTCCACCAGCCACAGTCTGTACCCTATGTTTTGTTGTGGGCGGAAGACAAGTGCCTAGTAGGCATTCAAAACTATTGAATTTGATGAATTCAGCAGGGGCCACTTGATGCCTACTGAATATTAGCACTTGGGTTACCAAACTGTAAGATGAAAGGAGAGAATGGAACTATCTGATGGCGTGCCTCTGTGTGTGTGTGTGCGTGTGTGTTTCAATTTTTAAATAGATTCTAATTTTAAAAAGTTCGCTAGAGGACAAGTGGACACGTGTGCTCGCTGGAGAGAGACGGAGAGAGAAAGGGAAAATGCGAAAGCACCGCATCTTCATGGAGGACGGTCACACGAAAGTCTCTTCTCTCCATTATTCCTCTCAGGATTTGGAGCACACGTGCACATGTGTGCAGAGTGTTTTTCAAGCTGCTGGGTCCCAGCTCGAACTGCGCGGTCAGCCATATGGGATCCAGCTGCCTTAACCACCATGTCACTGTCTGGCTTGGCGTGCCTACGTTTTAATAAGACAACAGTTAGATGCCAGTGTGAGGTCTAGAAGGAAAGTGGTACTGGATGTCAGGGTGGAGGAGTCCAGAGTGGCCTGGATTTGGTTCTGCTTCTAGTCTAGTTGGGGTTCTGGGCTGTTGCCTGGAAGAAGACCTCCCTCAGGGCCCCAGTTCCTCACTTGTCTGTGTCTCCTGACGCCAAACCAATGACGTCTTCTCTGCCCTCCCTTCCATGTGCCATGCCTCCTCCATATACAGAGGTGCCTTCTAATCTAATCTCTTCTTTCCCTCACGTCTCAATCCCCTGCAGGGTTCCCTATCGCTGAGGTGTTCACGATGAAGCCCCTGGAGTTTGGCAAGCCCAACACGCTGGTCTGTTTCGTCAGCAATCTCTTCCCTCCCACGCTGTCGGTGAACTGGCAGCACAATACCGTCCCTGTGGAAAGCGCTGGGCCTACTTTTGTCTCAGCTGTGGATGGACTCAGCTTCCAGGCCTTTTCTTACTTAAACGTCACACCAGAAGCCTCTGACATTTTCTCCTGCATGGTGACTCACGAAATTGACCGCTACACAGCAATCGCCTATTGGGGTGAGGTCCTTCTCCCTGGAGTCTGGCCCTTTTGGGGACAAAAAGGAACAGGCCCATGGGAAAGGTCCTTGGGCCTTGTATAGTCCATTCTTACTCTATGCCAACCTCAGTCTTCCATGCCTCAGTTTCTCCCTTGTCATCCCAGACACCCAAGTCACAGCCCTGGGAGGGGGCTCCCCAGTCAGGCCTCCTGGGTGACCCACTCTCCCTGTCCTCCAGTGCCCCAGAATGCACTGCCCTCAGATCTTCTGGAGAACGTGCTGTGTGGTGTGGCCTTTGGCCTGGGCGTGCTGGGCATCGTCGTGGGCACCATCCTCATCGTCTACTTCCGAAAGCCCTGCTCGGGTGGTATGTCATCTGCAGGGGCGGGTGAACCGCGGGAGTCAGTGGCACATGCGTCTGTGTCAGGACTGTCCTGTGCAGGGGGGGGGGGCTGCATATGGGGATCCTCAGACCCTTGGGTGTGGGGGCCTGCGTGTGGCATCATGGGGTACATCCTCTCAGTCGGGGATCCAGCACACCCAGATGTAGGCGACAGGAGTGGCTTCGAGTGGGAGAGGAGTGGCGTGGGTTGCTGCAGGAAAGGTGCTGGAGACAAGGTGGGGACAAGGAGAGATGGACCTCTCTGGGATAGGCAGCAGACAGGGCGGGGATCCCCTGAAGGCTTTCCTCCATCCTCTCTTTCCTCAGACTGACTGTTCCTGACCAGAGTTTGGTGCCAGCAGCTGCAGCCATCCAACCAGGGCGCTCGGGTTTCTCATCGTGCCTGGCAGTCCCTGTCAGAGCAGACGTCCCTGGGACTCCCGGCTGTCTGTGTGAGCAGGTCTCCGCTGGGGCTCTGCTCTCCCTGCACTTGCAGCTCGGGGAGGCCAGAGTGCCTGCCATCACAGCCACATCCCTTCTCCCTTAAAGGAATAAATCTCGTTTCTTAGTATCAGTGTGGCTTCTTCCTTAACTCGTGATACTTGTTTCTGTTGATATTTTTCTCAACCTGAGAGGGTTGTCATTTGAAATTCTGCATGTCCTAACCCGAACACAGCTTTCCTTCGCTAGGGAGGGAAACAGATCAAGTCCCTGACTCCTCAGCCAGGCTTCTGTTTCCTGGTCTCAGCACTGCCAATAGATAGGCTTGTGTTGCGATCAGGCTGTGCAAAATGTGTGAGAAATGAAGGCAGATATTATTTTCTGATAATCTCGTGAAATGGTTGTGAAAGCTGCTTGTGTGTGTGAGTGTTTGCACTTTACTGCTTGTGACAATATTTATGTCTAGCATAGGCTGCCTTGGGGAATATGTAACTTTCAACCCTCATCGTACCTAAGAAGATAGGAGCTCAGGAGTGAGAAACGAAGCGAAAGTCCCTGGGTACTTTTCTAACTCGGCCATCCCAGTTCTGTGAAAACAGTACCATTGAACTGAGGCGCAGCGGGAGCAGCCCAGAAGGGAGAACTCATGGGTCCTTCCCAAACAATCTGTTCTTGTCCCAAGTGAACCATCAAGAAACAGCGGTGCTGTTCGGGGTGGAGAGTGGGAGTGGGCGGCACGACTAGTGGTGGGAAATTGCTTTGCATGGGCTTTAGTTCTGCTTTCCTTCAGTTCTAGGAGTTGATTTGAAGGATGGAGTGAAATTATTATTATTATTTGGTATTGGTGAAGGAACCTGTGTCTTTCACACTATACTAGAGTCTAATCTAAAGGAAGACATCCAATTCCCCCTTAGAGAAGTTGGCACCATTTCTTTCTTTCTATTTTTCTTTTTTTTAGGTTTTGCCATAGGGTGCTCGCGCTCACCAGAGAGAGACAGAAACAGAAGGAAAGAGAAATCACCCCCCAGGGTGAATGACTATGCCTCAACCCCCTTTCTATCATCCTCCTCTCAGGGCCACAGCTGGCCTCAACCCAGGCAAGCTGGGAGTGATTTTCAAGCAGCAGTTTGCTCTGTGAGAATCCAGCGCCTTAGCCACCACGCCACCTACTGGCCGGATATCATCTCGTTTCTAAGAGCCCCACGTGTACTGGTTAAATATGGACTCCAGCACTAGACCCTTGGGAGTGCATCTGCCACTATCAGTTTCTGGCGGGGTGCCCTTGGGTAACTTACTTAACATCTACGTGCCTTGGAATCATTTTCTGTAAAAGATGATAATGGTTCATCTGATAGGGTTGTTGTGATGCTTAAATACGTTAACTTCTGTAGACCGCTTAGAACATTTTTTTGGCAGGTAGAAAAGATGCTCAGTAATTTTGCATTAGCACTGTTTGTCTTGATCTTTGGCAGAAGAACTTGGTAGCATTGTTGGCTTGTTTCTCTGTTCTGAAACATTCTTTTGAACCTACCTTCAAGTGTCACATTTTCACTCTTGGGAATATTTTTTTTAAGTTTTATTATTTTTATTCATGATAGCATATACATGCACGCACAGATGTGTGTGTGAGAGAGAAAGCAACGCTCAGTGGGCCCTAGTCATGCCTGAATTCTTTTTAATATTAAATCGTTGTTGTTGTTGTTGTTTTTGCTATAGGGCACATGCACTTAACAGACAGAGAAAGAGAACAAGAGAAGGGGGAGTGAGGAAGCATCCCCTCCCCGCCAAGGGGGGATGGCCATACCTTCATCTCTTCCCCTTTCTCCTCATGGGATTCGAGGTATGCATGCACACACATCTGGCGTGTGTTTTTTGTTTTGTTTCGTTTTCTTTTTTTGGAGAGGTTTTTGTTATAGGTCGTGTGCGCTCGCCAGACAAAGAGAGACAGAGAGACAGAAAGCAAGAAATCACCCCCCAGGGAGGATGGCCACACTGCAATCCCTTCTCCTTCATTCTCCTCTAGGGATCTTGGGCACCCATGCACACGTGCCCGGTGTGAGTTTAAGCCACCAAGTCCAGGACTCAAACCACGGTCGACTACGTGGGAGTCCAGCGACATAGCCATTACACCAACTGCTGGTCCCAGGCATGTGTTTTTTCCAAGCTACCAGGTCCAAGACTCAAACAGCTGAGTCAGCCACTATACGACTGGCTGGTCCCACATGCTACAATGTTTTATTCTTCCAATTCTCCATCACATCAAGATCCTGAGCATACCTGTGTGAGCTTGTCATGAAGCCCCAAGGCTGGGATTCAAATCCTGATCCACCACGTGGAATCTGGCTTCCTCTGTGCAGCACCTGCACCCCTGTACCACAGAACTGGTCCAAGACATTTTTCATTTTATTCTCACTTTACCATCCTAAATCTGTCCTTTATTGCTTTTATTATGCCATGTGACAAGGTACTTCCTCTCTCTGGCCTCAAATTTCTCATCTATAAAATAATGGCTTAGATTAGAGCTCTCTTATCAAATATTCTATGATACTGCTCTTAAAGACTCTAAGAGCATTCAAGAGCCTCTCTAGTCTCTGTTGCTCTCTTTTAATAAAAATAGTACTCACTAGCCCAAGCAGGAATCCTATTCTTGAATGAATCTGTTTTCTTCACTTTCCTTGACAGTGCTGTGTTTGCACTTTAGAACATTTATCCAGGCTCTTTCCTCTCACAGGAATCTCTTCTTTATTGTCCTCAGCTGGTTTCTATCTTAACCAACTCTGTCGGTCCAACTTCAATTCAGTCTCTTCCATGAAGCCGTCCCTAATCCTCCAGCCTTGATTGATCTTTATCAAACTTCCAAGGCTTCAAACACTCAGCTCAGACTTTGCTTTCAAGGATATGCTGCCTTAGTTCCTATGTTAATTTTTTCATCCAATTAGTTTGTAATATCTATAATTCAGAGGTCATAAACAGTTTCTACTTCCTCCAAAAGATCAAGATAGTTCTCATTTCTCTTTACCTTCACTAACGCTTGAAATTGACTTAAAAATATTGGCAATATGGTTAGTATAAAGTAGTATCTCTCTTTTTTCCTAAAATAATTATTTATTTAATTTTGTATATTATTATTCTTTTTTTAAATTTGATATAGGACACATGCATTTACCAGAAAGAGACACACACACACATACACACACATTGTGAATGAGAGAGAGAGAGATAAAGAGTGAGAAAGCAAGTCTCATGTCCAGGACTTGAACCATGGTCAGCCAGGTGGGCATCTGGTTCCTTAACCACCACACAGCCTTCTGGTCCCAATAACTCACAAGTTTAAAATCACATTTTACCAATATATTAATAAGGGCATATTGTACCCCACATTTTATAAACTAATTTTAATCTAGTTCTTCTCAGGTATTTATTAATTGAGATAATTTTAGGATAATGTATCTTACCTAAACAGCTTTGAGAGAATACTTGTAATTTGGGGAAAAAAATAAAGATTTATTATATTTCCTCCTTTTCTGATGAATAAGTTGGGTTAAAAAGAGAGCTTTGCCATGTAATTTCCAGAGAACATATACACTTTCCAGAAAGAGGGAGAGAAAACACCTGCCAGTGGGGCATGGTCTTGCCACTATCCTTCTCCACATCTCTGTCCCATCAGGATTTGGGGTACACATGTACATGTGCCTGGCATGTTTTTCTTTCAGTTATTTTTTTAAGAATTATTTTATTTTACTTATTATTATTACTTTTTAATTTGACCAGAGAGAGACAGAAAGTGAGAAAGCAAGCTGCCAGGTCTGGGATTGGAACCATGATCAGCCATATGGAAGTCAGAGCCTTAACCACTTACTGGTCTCCTGGCATATTTTACAAACCACCAGGGCTGGGATATGAACTGTTGTGGGCCATGTGGGATATGGCTTCCAGTGAACAGTGCTTAACCACTGTGCTAAAGGACTAGCCTGCTTTGACTTACATTATCTGTCCATGTATAACATTCCATGATACTTTCTTTTGTTACTGTTATTGTTCTTTCACATTCTTAGATCTTTTCAACTTGGAATTTTTTCTTAAACCATATAAACAATAGTAAGTTGATCTTGATGCCACTTACCAAATACTTTATTTATCCTCTGGGATTTTTATAATAAGCTCCTTTATATACATAGATTTATTTCTGGATTATTCAGTTCCATTGATTTATCAATTTCTATGTCAGTATCCCATTATTTAATTATTATAGATTTTTATTTATTTTAATTTGCCAGAGGGTGCATGCATTTGCCAGTGAGTGTGTGCATTCGCTGGAGAGAGAAACAGAGAAAAGAAAGAAGGAGAGAGAAAGGAAGCACCCCCTAACAGGACATAGTCATGCTGCAATTCCTTCTTCTCCATTTCTCCATCCTGTTGGAATTTGGGGCACACATGCACATGAGCAGAGGCCATGAATTGATGTGGTTGGCCATGTGGAATTCAGCTGCCCCAACCACCAGGCTACAGAACCAGTTCTATTAGTTCTATTATAGCTTTTTAATAAGTGTTAATATTTGGTATGGCTAGTCTCCATGTTTTCACCATTTTATCTCTATGAATAACTCATTTTGTTTTTCTTTATCAAAATTGTCTAAGATAGTCATGAATTTTACTTTCATGTTCATTTAATAATCTTGTCAAATTCTCTTCCAATTCTGCTATAATTTTTGCCAAGGTAACATTTAGATTAGAGATATTGGGGAAGATTGACTTTCTTATTATGTTAGGATGTTTCATCCATGAATATGGTATACCTCTCCACTTTTCAGGTCTTTGTTTATGTACTTCAATAAAGTTTTTTCCCTGTAAGGTTTTTATTCTTTCATATGTTAAGTTCTAAATATTATGGTTTTATTACTAGTATAAATAGTAGGCAAATTTCAATTATTTTATAATTGATTATTAGGAGTATATAGAATCTAGAGTCATAATTCCTGAGTCAAAGTCATTGTTCTTTCATTTAGCATCCGGAGAAATTGGAGAAATTACTTAGCCCTCCTCTTCCTTCATTTTCTCATAAGTAAGCCAGAGATAACATTCTTCAAGAGTTGTGGCTACAGGGCCAGCAGGTATCATGGTGAAGGTGCTGGG